TTACCAAATATGTTTTGCATGTGCAGTTTGAGGCAAATCAATGCATTGAAAACTATCTTGCCTAAACCCATCCTACCCGCCAGAGGGAGAGGGCAATAATTCAGACAATTTCTAATACTCGCGATACAACAGCCACAGCATCCAACAATCCGAAGAACTAAATTGAAAATCAACCCATATAACATGTAAAGATAGTGAGCAAGAGACAGAGAAAGAGAGAGATGCAGAGAGCACTGTTTCAATTCCATTGATAACAGAAAGACGGATATGTGGTAGATGGACATAGAGAGAGGTAGAAAGAGAAAAGTATCATTTGTACCGTAGGTGAAGGAATGCCGGCCTTTAAAAAAACCGGATTCACTGAAATCACCTCCCCCTCTTCCTTCAACCCAGACTTCAGTAAATCAAACTGTGAAGCCCTGAACCTCCAAACGCTCTCCAAACTCTTCTGCAAATTCTCCATTGCACTGTTCTCATAAAGCTTTGAACCATGAGCAGGGCTCCCAACTGCCTTAATAACCAACCACCATGGGCTTCTCTCGCCATAAAAAACCCTGTAATTCTCATTCGGTGAAGCCAAACCCTCATCCAGAACAACCGCAACATTCATTTTCTCAAAATTCTTCGAATTAGCGAGAGCTCCAGCTCCATCAACTCCCCCAATCTCTTCATCTGGCACAAAAGATAGATATACAGTTCGAACTGGTTTGAACCCATTTCTCTTTAGCCTTTTAATGGCTTCCAAATACTGTAAACCCACACATTTCATGTCCTGTGAGCCCCTCGCATAGATATCTCCATTAAAATCAATGTGAGCTGATAAAGGGGGGTGAACCCATTTGTGATTCTCTGATGGAACAACATCAGTGTGAGAGTTTAGGAGAATTGACGAAAGTTGGGTTTTTTCGCCAGGCCATTTGAGGATGACTACTGGTTTTCCCTTGGCGAATTCGAGGGTTTCATACTGAAGGCCAATGGATTCGGCCAGAGAAAGTATGAAAGTGGTAGAGAGAGAGTAATTGGGATTTGGGTGTGCCGTGTCTATCTGAAGATATTGTTGAAATCTAGAGATAATGGTAGCTGATTCTTCTTCAGATGATGTTGTCGTTATGAGGAGGAAGAAGATGCCTAGAGAGAGAAAGTGGGGACTGTAAGAAGAAGAAGCCATGGAAGCTACGGAATTCGAGGTTTTGTCAGTCGCACCCGAGACTCCGGGATTTAATCACTCTTGGTGGAGAGAGAGTTTCTCTCTCTAAAATAATAGGGAATCTTTATCTCTCTTAAAAAATTGTGCCCCTTCCTCGGAGCATTTATTCGCAATGTCCCCTTGATTGTAAATGAAATATGACTATGAGGCTCTAATCATAAATGACATTATCAAGTCAAAATTAAGAGGTATATACATATTGTAATAATATAAAAGAACATTAATTGAGAGTGAATGTGGAAGATTAGGGCAAAAGGTGAAATCCCATCTGAATGTATGAGTTACCCTTGATATTGAAGTAGTTTTGGCTAAAAGGTGTATTTAGAATATATAATTAAATAAATTATTTTTGTTAAAAATTAGAGAGCCAAATAAATAGGAGAATAAATTGGAAAAAGGAGATAGATACGATCATATTATTGGAAAAGTTTTTTTTTCAACTAATTGAGATAAGCTACATGAATTTTGGTATTTTATACTATAAAGGTGAAGTCATGAGGTTATAAGTCTCCATATATTTTATTACTACTTCCATTAATATCGTTTTAGGTCTATCCGGGTTTTTTTTAGCTTTCTCCTTTAACTTATATGTACCTCCTAACAAGTATTGGGTTGGGTCTACAGAGATAGATATGATGTATAGACAAATACATCTAAAAAATATTGAAAGGAATGAAAGATTTTGTAAAAATAAATGTGAGAGATATTTTAAGAGAGAAATAGAAAGAAAATAAATTATGAAGTGATAGAGATGGTATATATGGGAACATGCAATTAAAGAAAATTAAATTATGGATAAATTATGGAGCCAAATTACACAAGGAAGTATATTAGAAATAGATCAAGATATAACCTAGAGAGAAACAAGTATATTAGAAATAGGGAAAGATATAACCTAGAGAAATAGGTGAGAAAAAAGAGATTTAGAAAATATAAATACCGGACATATTTTAGGAGAGAAAAAATATGAAGTAAATTAAAAAGTGAGCGATGAGTACGTGAGAGAGGGAAAGAAAATCAAGAAAGAGCAAAAACATGTAAGAGGGATTGTAGGATAAATGGAAAAGTTAATTAAAAAGAGAAAGACAAGCAGTTTCCCTTGTTTGATAACTTATCTGAAAAATTAAAAGAGTCAGTTTCCCCACTTTCAAAATTTGATAGGAGGAATGGCTTAATTTAGTATCCATGATTCATAAATAAATGATAAAAAAACATATATTTTGAAATTTTGAGTTTATCACGAAATCAACCGTAAAAAATAAGAGATATGAAAATATTTTCCCTTGAACAAACGCCCATCTCTCTGTAGGCCCTCTCTCCGGCCGTATAAAATACGGTACACGCGCCCAAACGCCCCTTTCCATCTCAAAGCCACTTCGTGGGAGATTAAAGCCCTAAACCACAGCAAAGCGGCAAAAACCCTAAAACTCCTGAAAACCCTGCAAATTGACCACTCTAAAACTTCTGAAAGCCCCTGCAATTGAGAGAGAGAGAGAGAGAGAGAGAGAGAGAGAGAGAGAGAGTAGTTAGTTACGTGTACGACGTCGTCGTACGACGACGTACGTACGTAAAGTAATTTACTTACGTACGTAACGAAAGTAAACTAACGTAGACGACTACGTAACCGTAACCCGT